TGATGATGGTCGAACAGACTTGGAACACTGTAGATGAAATACGTTGCACAAAAGACTGTCTACGACCGGTCACACGGTCTATTGCCCTTGAAACTTAGAGAGCACTTGTCCAGCACCATAGGTACGAAATCTTAGCGGTGGACTTCGCAAAAATAAGTTCGTTAGACGAGTCTTCAGTTCGGCCAAGAAATCGCTACACTTGATCTTTTCAAGCTTAGGTTTCTCTGACAAATCTGATGGTGCTTCTATCAAAGACGAAATTTCCTTCCTATGCAATGACCTATACTTTATTTTTAAAATTCATCATCATAGCCTAGTAAATTACCGTGTATAGTGACACTAATGTCCACTGGAATACCCTGTAGAATTGTTCATGGCTGTTACACTGATCCTACCATCCCATGAACGAAATTCGAGCTTACCTAGTATACTTCTATCACAGTATGACCTGTATAGCACCATCTTAAGTGTTTATGTGAGACGTGAATCCAGGCCGGGCTCAAGTCATGAAGATGATTATCTTGATGTGCTATTAGAAAAGCCTTCTGCTAAAGCTGGTTTTGAGCACACTGATCTTTATTGTGAATTTTCAGGCTCGAATTGAAGCATAGGAAGCGCTACAATTTGTAAAAATGATATCATACCAACAAGACTGCGGTTCGCGGCATGCCACAGAGCTAAGATCAGCTTTGATACTTTGTGCTTACATGGGTTCTCGTTTTTACTCAAGTTCAAAGAGGGGAAAAGTAGCTCGTCCAAAACCGATATCAGATGCGTTTGACTAAATGTGCCGGTTTAACATCTCTCCCTTCATAAGGTTGAGTCTTTGGTTCTCCCTGCTCGGGTACTGACATCTTAGTTATAGGTGTACTGGGGCCCAAACGAAAGTAGTATTCTACACTCGAAGGTGTTCGCTTCAGAACGGAAAGTCATTTAGTGAAAGTGGAGTCGATTTATCTATCGCACTATCCAACTTCTCAGGTAACTGCTGGGCGTGGAAGTGAAACATTGACATCTCCTACAAATCCTAGCGCCTGGGTCATTGCAACCTTTCTGTGTTTAATCTTAGATATCTGTACCAATTATCTAAATACTGTGTCAATTCGTGATGTAAAATTATTCAGCTATATGTCTTCCTGAAACAATGATACAATAGATCATAGCTTTTGTTAGCTGACAATAATTTAAGCTATATGATTTCTAGATGCAAAGAGACTTTGCAAAGGACAGCATAATAACCTCTTAATTTAAGGCCGAAAGAGTATGTGGTCAGCAATAGTGTACGAGACCGTCGGCCATGATACACAGATCCGAATGGCCAGTATAAGGTGAGTGCTGGATCACAACAGTACGTTAAGATTGATTCGGGCAACAAAGTGCAGGCCTTAAGCTGCTTGAACTGGTTTAGAGTAAAGTTTCGCATCCACATCTCTTTTAGACTTCATCCCTATGCCACTAAATGATTTTGAACTTAATCAATCTACCCCCTCATTGGTGAAGTCACATCGGTGGATATATCCAAAAATATCCAAACTGTTACCCTCTTTCTAGCATGACGTAACCAAAGTGGTCGGCCGAGCTGTCGCTCACGTAGCTCGAATCACGATGGACGATTTAGTTGTCAGGAAATCAAAAGATATTGCACTCACAACAAAAGTGTAAATTGCTAACAAATAGTTCGACAAGACCAACACCGGTTTCGCCGTTCATGATTTGATGGTCCTGTCTAAAAATCCTTTTTGCACTACTTTTGTTGTCTCTAAAGGCTTTTTAAATTTATGTCGTTCCCGATGTTAAAAAAAAGTTTGGCTGACGCCCCCTTCAACGATTCTGTTGATCTTTAAACGCTTGTTTAGTTTATGACAGGCGCGAGATAGATAAGCTGACGTAAAAATGGTCAAGATAGCGCTAGGTCACTAAAATTTACACATCGTGGCGATACCTGGGGATAGAGACGAAATTCTCAGTTTGTTGAGGTTTGAGGAGTAACATCATCGTGCTTTGTATTTTAAACCATGGGCATATGCGTTGTCCTACTGGTATTCGCTTCGATTCGATAACCATCACGGTAAATTGCCGACCCAATTCAGCGCAGCACATAGCTTCACGATTGCCATCTTACTCGAGTGTCGACAGGCGAATTGACTGAGACGTGCTGAATTCTTTTGGTTCAGCAATAATGATGTCGTCGTTCGTGACGACGATTTTAAGGTCACGACGCCCCTTATATACTCGAGTCGGTATTCACGAAAAAGATAATTTAAGAGATGGGATGGAGAGTACAGAATGCAAAGTAGCATCTTTTTTTAAGGCAAGGGTGACGTTTGCCTTGCATCTTTCACAAGGCACCTCTGCAATGTGAAAATTGATTCAATTTTGCCTACATAAGAGACATTGGTTTTTACACAAGTCTCTCATCATTGCCATTGTAGCTTCATATGCTGTGGACGCCGTAAATGAACGCTGCGTAGAGTAACAATGCTGATAAACTGTCTAGATCGACTGTTAGAGCTCGTAGCACTTTTTAATACGATTATGACTGTGATTCACATAAAAGGAAAGAGACCGTGCTCAATGCACTAAGCGCACGATTAATAGCAACATGATGAATTTACTTGCTGGGATTTGAAGAAGCTTAAAGAAGTGTCTCTGAAAGAAAGTACCATGTCATGATATCTATGTTTGCACTGCATAATAAAAGTCAAGGCTACTAAAACACTCCCATCTTTAACGCAAACTTTTAGATCTAATTTGTGGTGATTTGCTTTTCACATGATTAACTTTAGTAAAAGAGACCTACCTATCTGATTTGCTCATACAGCGATATTCTATTCAGACATCGCATCTTATATGATAAAAGTGTAGATGTAGCCGTAATTATGCAAGTGGAGATGTTCATTTATATATTCTGACGTACTTCACAGTGCAGATGTATGTAAAGGCTTAAGCTACCTATTGTTTTGTATATGTTTTAAAACGAATCTTTTTAGTTCATCAATGAAAAAGGCTTGCTGTCCAATTAGAAGTTGGAGTGACAATCAGGCGCCGATGTATCAACAACTTCAGGCGTCGGATACATCGAGACATGATCCACCGAACCCTCAGGCTCTTGATCAGTCTGCACTTGCTCCACACTCTGAGTAGAATTGGTGGAGCCACTTGTGCCGTCACATTGTTCAATGTCACTTGAACCGAAATCTTGTGTCCAAAAATGCTGATCCTCGGTGTCCATTCTGAAAGTGTACCCAGGCGCAAACATCGTATACTCGCCCATGATGTTAACCAGATGCCCTGGAGAGTTGATCCACGACACCATCACATCTTCCACGTTGCTCTGACCAGATGCTACGTTTTCGGCCACGGCGTTCCATTTGTAATTGGCTTGTGTAATACGGTCCGACACGGTGGATCCTTGGGATCCTTGGTGTCCCAAGTAATTCCCAGCAGCCATTTCATCCGAGTGGAGCTGGGCCGAATCGTGCAGCTTCTTATTTAGACACATTGGTGGTAAGCCTTGAGTGGCGCGCTGCTTGTTGACAGCGACCAACATGATCGTCGCGTATTGTTCGTAGGACGTGTAGGCAGCGACACTCGTTTTCGACGCAGCGCCATAATGCGTTTCATATTCGACAGCATTGACTTTCGATGTGGCTGCTATCAGTGTCAACAGCGCAAGAGGAGACTGAACAAAGACCATCACGGTGGTTTTCGATAGTTTGGTTGATTGAGGGCAGAGAAAAGCAAACTGAGACTCCTGTCTGTCCGCTCGTGTTTTTAATAATGTGTTCTGGCTGGTAAGGAGATACACTCGCCAAATCTGAAGTACTCTACGACGCACGCAATGTGTCGTCAATTGTAAGTTTGCTATAGATGGGCGGGTAAGTCTAATCCTATGCAAGGACTCCAACGAACTGCACACAAAGACTTGAAGACTTTCTGTCGACCATGATTCTATTGTGGCCCTGTCGTCAAAGTGGAAAGAAAGCCCTTCTTGCCGTGGCCTAGCTATTAAACAAAAATTGACGAGGCAATAGCAATTGTACGAGAAACATGCGATGTTATAAGCCTGTTGCTATATTTCTGAAAGTCCCTTGCTTTAATCTGAGACAAGTAGTCTACGATTTTACAGCTTCAAACTTTAAATGTCAGCTAATGTATTGCCTTACACAAGATATCGCAGGTACCATGTCGTTAAGATATCTCTTGAGCAGCAAGGCAAGCAGTGATGTTCTTTGGTATTACAAGACAAAGGTGTTGAAATGATATCATATCAGCTCACCGAATGCGTGTGTCCAGGACGGATTACGGACATTATCACGAGCATGATTATGACGGATACCGGTAAGTCCATGACGCCATAATTTTATAGGATCTAGACTCGAAAGTGTGAGAGTAGCGAAGGAACGATATATATATTCACATCATAGATAACCTGCTATGTCATACATCCCATGGCAACACGCTAATGCTTCGCCGGGAAGACTGACTTGACTATGGTTAAAGTATTCTCCGAAAAAAAATACACTTTCTAGCATTGAGAATTTATACAAAGTGTTTGTAAAACGTCACACATGGGCCATACACATGCTAGATGTTAACTTGACTGAACGGACAATACGCATAGAAGTACATTGACGACATCTCAAGGATCCTTTATGTTTTCGATGTATTTATTGTTCTTGTCAAACCTGATCAGATTTAAGTAACATCTAGGACCAGGATCTTGCTCAAGCCTTCGAGAGAAGAGCAACGAGGCTTATGTAGGTAGGCATGAGGGAGCACAAGCTATTAAGTTTTCGTAGTAACTAAGTTTCAAGCGGGGTACTGCTGCTTGTCTTCTTTATAAAAGGGCGACAATGGTGTTGAAGCGAATTCATACAAACATCACGTAACCTACGTGAATGCGTCAAAAGTGGGTACCAAGGACGCGTTTACGTTTAAGAACAAGTAACAGATATGTTGTGACTTGCCTCATTTCGAGCAAATATGTCTGTGATGTGCTCGCTGAAAGGCATCGTACGAGAATTAACCTTGGAGTATATTTGATTCTGACGAAACAAACTTTTTGGACTGGGCAAATTTCGAAATATGCCCTGTCCATGCCATGATATCTTTGTTTGCAC